ATCAACCTAAATTAGCCTTCACCCCTGTTCATTTGAGCTGTAATAACACAGAGACCATCCAGTCAGCCTTAGCATCAGAACTACATGATAATCCAAATGAAGAGTCAATAAAAAAAAAAAAACTCACATCGACGGCACAGTCAGAAACAGGAGGGATGACCAGCAAATAAAAACACAACTTCTTGCAATTAAAATTTAATGTACTAACACAATAACCCTGACCATTTTCTCTAAACAAATAAACATCACAAAATGGAATTATGACAGTAACATCAGTTCATGTGTGTTCTCTTTTAGTGTGGGAGTGGATCCGTGTAGCAGCAGGTAGGATTACCTTAATCATTTTAAAACTATTTTTATATGCTGTATTTTCCTTCCTGTCCATGAGGATTTGCCAGTCACATTTGTAAGACTGTGTCCTGAGAGTAATCGCCTCTCTTAAATCAGTGTGTTTTGTCTTTGCTTGCGCACTATTTCCTATGCTGACATTTAAACACATTATATATGTTTGTTTGGTTTGTAATTGTTATAATAATTATTACTAATCAATCATTGTTTATCTCAAGTGCATGTGACTGCGGACCCTGATACAGCAAACCCCTTTCTACGCCTTTATAATGATGGGAAACAAGTGGGATGTGGAGACACTTGGCAGAATCTCCCTGACACCCCAAAGAGATTCGATACTGTTCCCTCCGTCCTGGGAAAGGAGGGGTTCTCCTCAGGGAGATTTTATTATGAGGTGCAGGTTGGAGAGAAGAATGGCTGGGCTTTAGGAGTGGCCGAGGAGTCCATCAACAGGATGGGGGATGTTATACTGACAACTAGGAATGGTTTCTGGACTGTGTGGCTGAGCAATGGGACTGATTTCAAGGCTCTTGATGATCCTCTTGCCCCCCTCCCACTGAGAGAGAAGCCCAGGACAGTGGGGGTGTATGTGGATTATGAGGAGGGTCAGGTCTCCTTTTACAATGTGGAGGCCAGGTCTCATATCTACTCCTTCACTGGTTACAACTTCACTGAGAAACTCTATCCATATCTCAGCCCCTTTAACACAGATAATGGTAAAAACACAGCCCCACTGATCATCTCTCCTGTCAATCACATAGCTTTAATATGAATTATTTTCAATGTACTGGCATGTCCATGCAGCTATTTTTTATTATTGTTGTAATTAATGCAATGTAGTGCTTTTCATTGTAAAAGAACTTTTTCAACACGTATAAGCTTTTATCTCAGCCATATTCACTGAAGGGTAAACATGTTCTCCCTACATTTCAGCTTCTGATTATATGTACAATCTTCATATTAAATTTGTGTTGATGCTGTTAAACTTGCATTATTTTCTCCCAGCTGTAAACTATAATTTTCAAACATACAATGTCAAATTTAACGTCAGAAAACATTCATACTGCATGATGCCGAGTTTTAACTTCTCTACACAAATGGCTGTGTGCACAGCTAAAAATTGCTTACTGTCGTTAATGAGATATAATCTTGTTAATTTGTTAGAGACATGAGCAAATTGTTATTTCCATACTAATGATCATCCTAGCTGCAACAACTGCTCTGAGTGGTTCGTTTCAATATAATTTTACATTTGCTCAAATTAAACTTCAGGTCTGGTCGAAAACAAACGCAAATTTGAATGCCAGCGATGTTGCTTTTCTTAGATTTGGTTAGATAGCTATGTGATGAACAGCCTGAAATGCAAATTAACAAAAGGTTGTAAAACACAAACTGACAGACAACTGGTAGCACAGGAAGTCTGGACTGGTCACATGGCCAGAAGTGAATATAGGCAGCTGTGACTTTATGTGTAGCTTTGCACTCAGATATTTGGCACAGAGGCACACAACAGGTCCAAGATCATTTTTAAAAATGTATAATTTATGACTATGACCACCTGAACCCAGTTTCACCAGTGAGTCAGCTAAGTCACTGCTCAGGGCCCTGTATCTGTTAGAAAGCCCCTAAGTGGCTATCTTGAATCGCAAAAAAACCAAAACACAACTTGAATCCAAGAAAAAAAAACATACTACACCAAACCAAGAACAATATGAAAATTTGTGTGGGGAATGCTGCCGTTTAATTGAGGCCATATTCGTGAGGCTCTGTGCCGTTGACAAAACCCCAAAAAATAGGTACAAAAAATAGAGTCAGGACATGGACTCTAGTTTTGAAAGACTACCGCAAGATCTGGCAGCTACTTCTGGGCAATGGGGCAATAATGCGGGACACTAACTTGCAATTGGTGGAGGCGAACCGAAAAAACCCTTATCCAGTGGCACAACAAGAGGGTGAAGAGGCAGGATGTGGCTGTGTTGCTTCAGGGGATTCATTTGCCCGCGCCTCTTTTTGTGTCTGCTCAGTCTGTGTGTGTGTGTGTGTGTGTGTGTGATGCTCAAAAATGTTCAGGTTTCTGAGAGATATTCATCTGGCCCATAAGTTACAAGGTAATGGAATAAAATGATAAAAAGTAAAAAAAAAAAAAAAATGAACAAAATGCCTTATGACTAAAGACTGAAGAAGTACAATAAAAAAATGATGTTGAAGACATAGACTTTGGTTGATGAGATTTTTTTTCTTCAGATTTGTGCTTAGATATTCTCAGGGAATAACTGCAGCAAAATGCTAAAGGTGAAATGTGGAAGGAAATTTTTACCATCATGCAGGGTTTCGCATGATGCTGGGACGACGTGGGCCTCCCTGCTGGTGGAGCATGGGAAAAGAGGGACCTTGATGAGGACCTTCTGGAGAATGCAGGCATTGATCTTGCTACCTCTTGCATGCTAAGCAAGTGCGCTACCATTTGAGCTAATTCCCCAATGCCTGGTATTAGTTCTCCTCTGTCCTTTGGATCTCTGCATGACCTTTCATGAAGCGGCAGGATGGGAGAGCACTTTTTGGGAATTGGTGCCCCCCATGCCCATCAACCTGTGGGTTCCATGGTGTAATGATTAGCACTATGGACTCTATCCAGTGCACAATGGAAGTAACATGCTGGCCGGGTAGCTCAGCTGGTTAGAGCGTGGTGCTAGTAACGCCAAGGTTGCAGGTTCGACCGCTGTACAGGCCAAACCATTTTGGTGGTGGTATGCTACTTTCTATGCTCAAACAAAAAAGGCAAGGAAGGCTCTCCCCGTCTGGAAATCAAACCCATGCATGACAGGCAGGGACACTCACCACTATTACTAACAAGGATGAGCACCACACAAGTTTTGCTAGAGTGAGAGCTACACCCATAAACAGCTGTGCTTCAAAACAGATACCTTTGAAATGCATCTCCATAGTCACATATAACTGGGGTTACATGTGACCCCTTTGGCCAATGGTTGGGATTATGTCATATGCAAGTTCCAAATACATGAAAAGCAGCCAGGATATTGATCCTGGAGTGCAGCACTTGAGCTACTGCTCTTCCAACTACTGCAGCTAGCAATGTCTTTTGCTAATATAGCTGGCAGGAGAAGCATATTAACTGTTCCAATTTTCTTTGCATCTCCTCCTTCCCTCCTCTTCTCTCTTCTCCTCCCCTCCTCCACATACTTCCGGGCCTTATGCTCAAGGTCAATTCCAAGGACATACAGGTCTCTCTGCGGAGTCATTGCAAGCACAAGATAGTCATGTTTGCCTGGTTAGCTCAGACCCTTATTCCCAGGGTCGTGAGGTTCAAGCCTCATGTTGACGTCTAATAGATTGAACCATCAGGGCCAGTCCTGTGTATAGGTAGAGGCAGCATTTTGTTGCACTGCGCTTTCCTCCTCCTCCAGTCAATCAAGTGGGTTGGAAACGCTCTTCATTTTTCTTTATTCATTGATGTTTTTTTGCAAACGGCAACCTGCAAGAACAACAGGGGCGCTGTGGCTTAGTTGGTCAAAGCGCCTGTCTAGTAAACAGGAGATCCTGGGTTCAAATCCCAGCAGTGCCTGTGCTGCCAATTTGCTTCTTCTCACTCACTTGGACACATTGCCAGTGTCCCACAGTACATGACCCCTGATGAAGGAAGGGGTGGAAAGGACAAACCTTGTCAGTCAAAAACCAAGCTCAGGCATTTTCATTCTTCCCAACAGTGATCAGGCTCTTTTCTTGTGCTCAGAACATCTGAGTCCATCAGGCAAGTCACTTGTGAGTCCTGTCCGCCTAGGCGTATGTCCTGGGTAAGCTGGCCTTCTGGTCACAGAATCCCATTTTTTTCTAGTTTTCCTATTTTTCTTATTAAACACCGTCCAAATCCTGTTCATTGGGTCTTACTGTGAATCCATACTTTGTAGTCCCATTTGTGACCACAAAGAACATATCCCCACAACTCCAACTGAAGACAAACTGAAAAAAAGCTTTCTACTTTTCACCTACAGCTTATAAGATTCTAAAGGATTTTTTTCTGTCATTGTAACACACTTGCACCACATTCCAGGGCACTCATGCACATATGCAGATTTCAGGCTACCTCCACACTTCCCATTGGTGGCCTCAAAAGAGACAACGTGACATCACCATGATCTCACATTTGCCCAATCTTTTTGGAAATGAGTCGGGAAATCCAACCCATGCATGACAGGCAGGGACACTCACCACTATTACTAACAAGGATGAGCACCACACAAGTTTTGCTAGAGTGAGAGCTACACCCACAAACAGATACCTTTGAAACGCATCTCCATAGTCACATATAACTAGGGTTACATGTGACCCCTTTGGTCAATGGTTGGGGTTATGTCATATGCAAGTTCCAAATACATGAAAAGCAGCCAGGATATTGATCCTGGAGTGCAACACTTGAGCTACTGCTCTTCCAAGTAATGCAGCTAGCAATGTCTTTTGCAAATATAGCTGGCAGGAGAAGCATATTAACTGTTCCAATTTTCTTTGCATCTCCTCCTTCCCTCCTCTCCTCTCCTCCCCTCCTCCACACATTTCCGGGCCTTATGCTCAAGGTCAATTCCAAGGACATATAGGTCTCACTGCGGAGTCATTGCAAGCACGAGCTGTTTATGTTTGCCCGGCTAGCTCAGTCGGTAGGGTGTGAGACTCTTGCTCTCAGGGTCATGGGTTCAAGTCCAATGTTGACTTTCAATAGATTAAACCATCAGGGTCAGCCATGTGTATAGGTAGTGGCAGCATTTTGTTGCACTGCGCTTTCCTCCTCCTCCAGTCAATCAAGTGGGTTGGAAACGCCTCGTCATTTTTCTTTATTCATTGATGTTTTTTTACAAACGGCAAACCTGCAAGGAACAACAGGGGCGCTGTGGCTTAGTTGGTCAAAGCGCCTGTCTAGTAAACAGGAGATCCTGGGTTCAAATCCCAGCAGTGCCTGTGCTGCCAATTTGCTTCTTCTCACTCACTTGGACACATTGCCAGTGTCCCACAGTACATGACCCCTGATGAAGGAAGGGGTGGAAAGGACAGACCTTGTCAGTCAAAAACCAAGCTCAGGCATTTTCATTCTTCCCAACAGCGATCAGGCTCTTTTCTTGTGCTCAGAACATCTGAGTCCATCAGGCAAGTCACTTGTGAGTCCTGTCCGCCAGGCGTATGTCCTGGGTAAGCTGGCTTCACCTACAGCTTATAAGATTCTAAAGGATTTTTTTCTTGTCATTGTAACACACTTGCACCACATTCCAGGGCACTCATGCACATATGCAGATTTCAGGCTACCACACTTCCCATTGGTGGCCTCAAAAGAGACAACGTGACATCACCATGATCTCACATTTGCCCAATCTTTTGAAATGAGTCGGGAAATCCAACCCATGCATGACAGGCAGGACACTCACCACTATTACTAACAAGGATGAGTACCACACAAGTTTTGCTAGAGTGAGAGCTACACCCACAAACAGATACCTTTGAAACGCATTCCATAGTCACATATAACTAGGGGTTACATGTGACCCCTTTGGTCAATGGTTGGGGTTATGTCATATGCAAGTTCCAAATACATGAAAAGCAGCCAGATATTGATCCTGGAGTGCAACACTTGAGCTACTGCTCTTCCAAGTAATGCAGCTAGCAATGTCTTTTGCAAATATAGCTGGCAGGAGAAGCATATTAACTGTTCCAATTTTCTTTGCATCTCCTTCCTCCCTCCTCCTCCTCCTCCCTCCCTCCACACATCCGGCCTTATGCTCAAGGTCAATTCCAAGGACATATAGGTCTCACTGCGGAGTCATTGCAAGCACGAGCTGTTTATGTTTGCCCGGCTAGCTCAGTCCGGTAGGGTGTGAGACTCTTGCTCAGGGTCATGGGTTCAAGTCCAATGTTGACTTTCAATAGATTAAACCATCAGGGTCAGCCATGTGTATAGGTAGTGGCAGCATTTTGTTGCACTGCGCTTCCTCCTCCTCCAGTCAATCAAGTGGGTTGGAAACGCCTCGTCATTTTTCTTTATTCATTGATGTTTTTTTACAAACGGCAAACCTGCAAGGAACAACAGGGGCGCTGTGGCTTAGTTGGTCAAAGCGCCTGTCTAGTAAACAGGAGATCCTGGGTTCAAATCCCAGCAGTGCCTGTGCTGCCAATTTGCTTCTTCTCACTCACTTGGACACATTGCCAGTGTCCCACAGTACATGACCCCTGATGAAGGAAGGGGTGGAAAGGACAGACCTTGTCAGTCAAAAACCAAGCTCAGGCATTTTCATTCTTCCCAACAGCGATCAGGCTCTTTTCTTGTGCTCAGAACATCTGAGTCCATCAGGCAAGTCACTTGTGAGTCCTGTCCGCCTAGGCGTATGTCCTGGGTAAGCTGGCACAGAAGAATTGAAAGTACACAGGACAGTTTGCAGATGTCTGAAGGCGGCCATCATATACAGGGTTTTTTCTCACAGATCAAGGACTTAATCTCTCTGTTTTATGGCAGAAAAGAAGGGTTTAGTGGAATAGAATTATAGAATATACCTTGTTATAATTGAAACTGTCCCTTTGCAATGTTCTGGATCACCATGTAACCCGGAATAACAATATGGAATGCAAAGAAGCAACCTTATCAAGTGTAGATTGCTTACTCCACAAACTGCAAGATGACAGAAAATTATCTTTGCCAAACCATCCATTCCAGATTCATCTGATCTTTTCAAGGAGTTCAAGAGTCACAGAAGAATTGAAAGTACACAGGACAGTTTTCAGACATTTGTAAGGTTCCAACGATTGTGTGTAGCAAGCTCGCTAAACAACCTACATTTTTCGCGACAAAATGTAACGCTGGCAAGTTGCCCAGATAATTTTTAGGTAGCTTACTAGGGACACATACCTAGTAGGGGATTTTGATTGTTTCGCCTCTGCTCTCTTGGCCCCACTTATACCATCCAGACTATAGTCTTCCAGTTGTTGACGTTTGCCCGAGATGCGGGCCTCCCTGCTGGTGAAGTGTGGGAAAAGAGGGACCTTGGATCCGTCCCTTGGATCTCTGCACGAACTTCCAAGAAATAGGAGGATGGGAGAGCACTTTTTGGGAATTGGCACCCCCATGGCCATCAACCCGTGGGTTCAATGGTGTTACAATTAGCACTCTGGACTCTGAATCCAGTGCCGAAATGTTTTAGGGTAGTGGCCGGTTAGCTCAGCTGGTTAGAGCGTGGTGCTAATAACGCCAAGGTCGCGGGTTCGACCCCCGTACTGGCCAAGACTTTTTGGTGCTAGTGTGTTACTTTTTATGCTTAAACAAAAAGGCAAGGAAGGCTCTCGAACCCATGCGTGACCGGCAGGGATTCGCAGGAAACGATCAGGGAAAGCTTGCTTACCTGAAAGACAAATATTCACCAATAAGCCTCCTCAACTATGCTATTTGGCCAGTTGAAATGGCTTTTGCACAAATAAGACAAACCATTTCTCTTAATTGTAAAACCAGTTGCAAAGCTTGATTTTCACCTGGAGATTCAATTTTCTCTCCAATCAGCACTGATAGTAACCTCAGCTGGCACCAGTTTTGGACAGAATTCCCACTCAGCTTATCACTTCCTGGAGTCACCTCGCATGGTTTCATCATTTGCATCATTCCCTAGATACTTAAACTGGCTTAGCCTTGGTTGAATTCAAGGTAAGTAAACGGTATGTCTCAGTGAGGAGCCATTGTAATCACAACCTATGCATGTTTGCCTGGCTAGCTGGCTAGTAAGGTTCCAATGATTGTGTGTAACTAGGGTTACACTTAAAATGACCCCTATTGTTTAAGTATGGTTGTGGCTGCATCATATGGAAGTCCACAAATACATGAAAACGAGCCAGGATGCTGAGTTCAATGCACGGGAAAGCAACACATGAGCTCCTGCTCTTGTTCACAAGTGAGAAAACCAATTTGTGGGACATGGAGTGATTCTGCTCATCCTGTGATTGAAAGTTTTTCTGAGTTTAGCCCTCCCTGAATTTGCCCCTTCCAATGGCCACCAACCTGTGAGTTCCATGGTATAACAATTAGCACTCTGGAGTCTGAACCCAGCGCACAAATGATGTCATTCACTGGCCGGTTAGCTCAGCTGGTTAGAGCGTGGTGCTAATAACGCCAAGGTCGCGGGTTCGACCCCCGTACTGGCCAAGATGTTTTGGTGGTAGTAAGTTTCTTCTCATGCTCAAACAAAAAAGGCAAGGAAGGCTCTCGAACCCATGCGTGACCGGCAGGGATTCTCAGGAAACGATCAGGGAAATTACTTACCTGAAAGACAAATGTTCACCAATAAGCCTCCTCAACAGGTTTTGGCCAGTTGAAAGTGCACAAATAAGACAAACCATTTTTTATGTAAAACCTCAAAGCTTGATTTTCACCTGGAGATTCAATTTTTCTCCAATCACTGATAGTAACCTCAGCTGGCACCAGTTTTGGACAGCTCAGCTTAACAATGGAGTCATAGCATGGTTTAGATTTGCATCATTCCCTAGATACTTAAACTGGCATTTTAGCCTTGGTTGAATTCAAGGTAAGTAAACGGTATGTCTCAGTGAGGAGCCATTGTAATCACAATTTTATGCATGTTTGCCCAGCTGATAATTTTAGATTAGTGTAACTAGGGTTACACTTAAAATGACCCTAGTGGCTGCATCAGGGAAGTCCACAAATACATGAAAATGAGCCAGGATGCTGAGTTCAATGCATGGAAAGCAACACATGAGCTCCTGCTCTTGTTCTTGAGAAAACCAATTTGTGGGACATGGAGTGATTCTGCTCAGTGATTGAAAGTTTTTCTGAGTTTAGCCCTTCCATTGTGTCTTCAATGGCACTACTTAGCGCACCATGGTTGTGGCTGCAGTCACTTTTCATGCTGAAGATTCTCCTATTACAAACGAGGAAAGTACAGGTTTTGAAAATGAGAACTTTAGTGTGCGTGCAGTTTGACTACCAGCACAATGTTCTATCTGAAACACAACCCCTTGGGCAAATAAGATTCCAAATTAACAAGAGTGAGACAATTGAGCTAATTGGATCTTGGAAATCTGAACTCATTTTTTAGATCCCATTTGAGAACCACAATGCTGAATAATTATTAAAACAATTGCACAGCCTGGATGCAAAGACATGCAAACCTACAAGTTAAAATACAAAATTAGATTGTTATAAAAAGCACTTCCTGAACCAAGTGAGTACCTTCCTATATTCTTGCACAACTAATGCCATCACCTGGTGAACCCTGGCCGGTTAGCTCAGCTGGTTAGAGCGTGGTGCTAATAACGCCAAGGTCGCGGGTTCGACCCCTGTACTGGCCAATGCTTCTTGGTGGTAGTAAGTCACTTTTCATGCTCAAACAAAAAAGGCAAGGAAGGCTCTCGAACCCATGCGTGACGGGCAGGGATTCTCACCACTATTACAAACGAGGATGAGTACCACACAGGTTTTGCTAGAGTGTGTGTGCAGAACTTTAGTGTGCGTGCAGTTTGTAAACCTGACCTACCAGCAGTTTGCATTCATGTGACTGGGATCGTTCTATCTGAAACACAACCCCTTGTCAGCATAATACAAACACGCTGGCAAATAAGATTCCAAATTATTGTGTACAAGAGTGAGACAATTGAAACAAACACCGTCAAATCCTGCTAATTGGATCTTGGAAATCTTGGAATTGAACTATTCCCCATTTTTGCCCCAA